TTAAAAAAATCCCCGGGCCCTGTGTTTTTTTGGTGGGCCCACCCTGGTTTTCTGGTTTGGGCCCCCCTATCGGTCCTTTACCAGGTAATGCCCCCCCCCCCCCCCCCCCCCCTTTTTTTTTTACCGTTTTGGAATGTGTGCTGCTAATCCCTTGCTGGTACATTGTGCCAGTGAGGGTTCTATATAGGTCATCTCTAGGAAGTAGGAAGCTGAGCCTTGTCCAATGTCCATTTTTTCATTGGTCTTGGCAACGCTCCTCGTCCATGTTCGGCGATCATGAATGCTGAGCATACTTGTGGGCTTAATTTTTGATTTACCATCTCACATCAGAGACATCTTTTTTCATTATGTTCATTACCTTGCGTAGTGTCATGAGGAAGAAACATTGTACTAGAGCCGAGCCATCCGAATAATAAGACTGGGCTGTACTGTGATGAATGGTTTTATCATCAACTTTTTCGACTTCCGTAACACCGGTTGGCCTCGCATTTCCATGATGTCTTTTCCTCCACCACTTCCGCTCACAACTCCGTAATCATTTCACGGGGGAAGAAGTCCTCTCCGCTCAAAACCTGGTGTAAAAATTGGAAAGAAAAGACGATATATCTTTAAAGATCTAATACCGAGCGAACTAGTTCGGAATTTAACTTATACAAGACTACGACACCAGGCTTCTCTACCGCAACTCTCTTTCTCCCGTGAAAGCGACCGACTTGTACGTCTCCTCTTGCTGCTCCGGAATGCTCATGCCTCGCCACGCACCGCCGTTCTTCGAGAGGGTCATTTTCCGGGTTGGGCGATTGCTACCCTCGGTGGTAGCCACGCCCACATTCAAGAGTTCGACATCGCTATCGTCACGTCCGTGTCGTTCGGTGTCGAATTCGGCAGGGCCCTCGCTAAGAACTGACCACTCCTGCTTGATGCTGATCTTAGCCCGGGAGTCTCCTAGCCGATTGCCAGAAGAGGATGGTCCGAAGCTGTTGAATGTCGAACCGCCGGTCGCGCGAGTGGTACCGAACAACTTCGGAAGCGCAAGACTGAAGAGTGATCGCACTGCCGGCATGCATGCGCACGCAATACCTACAGGAACTTCGATTGTCGACCAGTATCCCGTCTCAACATAGTCCTCTAATGAGTCGGGTTAGGATTACCGCCAGGTAGCACCGGAAGATTTCTTGCCGGAGAAGCACTTACGCGTGAGGTTTTGAGTGTTACCAAATCGGATGAGGGAGTTAAGACGGACGATGCTGACGATTGTAATGCTGTGCAATAGATTAGTGCGTGCCTTTTGCTATGGATTCTCAGGGGAATCGCATACAAGAAACCGACAGTAAACATAGCAATAATTTGCAGCCTCTTTCTTAGCGACAAGGACAGAGCGAACAGTTCGGGGAGCGGAAGTATAATGACAGCCAGATCCAAAGCGATGTTGATAGCTGCGGCGGACCATCCCAACACATTGATGCTGATACATTGCGTCTCGAATTCGCCGTCCCATTGCAGCCAGGCCCCCTTTATCGGATTACATTGGAAGATCAGAAGTAAATCGTAGGTGATGGCGTAAACTAAGTTGATGGCTATGAGAGCATATGTGCATAGACGAAATGACCGCTTCGGGAAGACCTTCAGGTAGAAGAAGAGAATGGAAATCTTGGTCAAAGCTAGGGCCGTGATGTATAACAATTCGTCGAAAAAATACAGCTATTTCCCGTATCAGTAACAAATTGTTCTTGTGGATCGCTGGCGGAAGCTAACTCACCCGAAGGACCTCTGTTATATCATCATGCGGGACGAACCACATGTCCAGACCGAGCCCGTTGTCGGTAACTAATCGAATATTAGCATAGAAAACTATATAGATACCTTTATGGCAAGTAACGTACTAGGGATGGAGATACCTGCGAGGCCAATCGCCAGGACCTATAAAGTAAGTTAGAAAACCCCGATGAATTAGGTCCCAGCTCACGAATGCATACCATAACAAAACACATAACAGTATCATCATGACCCCAATCATGTGGCCCAATAAGTCTTGCAGTGCACCGTAGAATGAAAGCCAGAAGCCCAATTGCTCCGAAGACCATCGCAAGGATACGAATAAGGTCACGTCTATCCTCGCCTTCTATGCCGCATGTTTCCGCCGAGAATTTCTTCGTAGCTAGTAACATCACCCAAGTCAGTCATGTAAACAAACCAAGCCTCCTTTTTGACTCACATAATTGATCACGGATCGAGCAGCTAGCAGTCACGCATTCGGTAATTTGTGCTTGTAGCGACGCAGTAGTGCAGATACAAGTAGTGTTGCTCGTTGAGCAGTCCGAGTTGGCAGTCGATGTTAGGATGCATTTTAACTAAGCACTTCTTAGCCCAGGTCTTCACTGAGCCTTTCCTCGAAGGGCTCTCTCTCCTCCTCTTCCTTGGAAGACTTACACCACAAGCAGGGGCTCCAGTAACGTCGAGAACGGCCAGCGCTGGTTGCAATGCCGTCAGGCATAGCAAAAGCAACGAAAGGAACTGCATCCTGCCCGATCGCAAACGAAAGATCTGAGGTTATAGGGGGGGAAACAAAACGAATGACACCACAGAACCATAGAAATTTTCAAAAGGGAGGGAACCCTAGACTTAGTATATTTTCTGGAGAGAAGTCGAATCGAGCGCCACCCTTGGTCCAAAGAGAGTATGTATGTATGCGTAGCAGCGGAAACTACTCGATAAGGCAAGACCAGGATATCAAAGGACTACATGGTGTCGATCAGTGGTACCGATTTCTTCTCATGCCTTGTGTTTTCGTATGCAAAAGTAACTCACTAATGTAACTCTGTCTGCTCTGGGAACCCAGCCTTGTGGGACACATCCCGGTTTGTACATACAGTTCGTCAATGTCTACATAGTACAAGCTGGTGTGACAGCTAAGCTACAGCTAAGCTCAAAACCGGCAATCTACCGGTGGCGATAATTCTGCGATCAAGCCTTAGTTTTCCGGCCTTGGTTATCACTATCATGTCCATGCGCGGTTTACGTAGTTTCTAGACCTGCCGAATCAGGAGATATCGCCCCCCAGATTTAGAGTCGTCTAGGTATGTATGTAGGCAAGATAAAGGAGGCTTACTGACGTACCTGTGATTCGGCGATTCGGTGCTATTGTGCTGCCCTTGCAGTTTTGAGGCTATTGGTGCCTGGTTGCCGGGGACATTATGAGGTGACATTTTGTGGTGGCGTTCGCTTAAGCTTCTCGAAGCTTTTTTATCTTTTCAACATTGGCTGTTCCGGCGAGATCCGGCCGGGGTAAATTTTGCTTAGAATTCAATATTTACTCGGAATGCTACTTTGCCGTCGTAGCTTCATACATGCAAATGTAGACTGCCTGGTCGACCGGAGTGCTGGTAAGTACCCTAGGTACCTAATATGGTAAACATTATCTGCTGTGCAGTATTACCCATCTCACCATCTTATTGGCATGACATTCTGATCAACTTTAGGCCGATAAACTTTTGGCAGTTCGGCATAAAATTTATGCGGCTCAAAGCTCGTTCCTGACCAGTGTCACGTTAGAGATACCTTATGTATAGACGGACGGGATGCCAGATATGGTTAACATCCCCGTGACGGCTCCGTGCCTATGCCGCTGATGATTTGCTGGACGTACTATTCTAACCCGATTCGATTAGAGCCGCGTACCGGTCTTGGAACGGCGTATCTGGATATCCACTCCGGTAGTTGCCATTACCTACGTGCGGTTGCTCAAACCCCAGAAACCCGGAACCACACAAAGAAAAACGTGTTCCAGGGAAACGCTATTTCCGAAAACTCTGACAGAAGATTGTTTCGAATCATTTAAGTCAGGCTCGCTTCACTTCTCTTACCGAGTAAAGCCATAGTTAAGGCATGACCTGCTAGATTCATGTTACTCCGCTACCTAAGATACAGGTAAGCACTAGCAAAACAGCTCTCAAAAGAGAATCAGGGTCCGATCAAGTTCATTCTATCCGCGCTGACAGCTTTAGGTACCCAAGACACTAAATAGAAGACGCCGCGCTAGACCTACGGCAAGTCTCCAAACACCCGAAATGTCGTTGGTGAGTTTCTATTATATATGATTAAATATATTAGATAATGTAAAAATTGAGTAAACATTATTTTAAGGACGAAAACTTTTTTATTATAATTTAAAAATTATAATTTTGTTATGATTTTAAATTTAATATATATATATAAAAAAGGTAATATATTAAATTATATAATATATGTAAAAATAAAAAGTTTACGTGGTTATATTTTATAATTATATATGTAATTAATAAAATTTATAAAGTAATTATTTTGTAATAATTATATATAAATTTTAATATAAAGGGATATTTTTTTATATTTTTTAATGTTTTCGGCGGTTTTTTTAAAAAGCGTTTAATAGTAGGTTATTACTTGCGGTAAGCAATAATTTTATATTAAAATTATATAATTTAATTAATACGTTTATTTTAATTTATAATATACGATTTAGTTAATTTATTAAGGTTATATTATAATATAGTTAAATTAAAAAAGGTAATAAATATTAAATTATTTAATTATTTTATACGTAATATTGCAATGTAAATAAAACCGGTAATAAATTTCTTTTTAAAAATATTTAATATAATTTAATTATAAATAATTTTTTAAATTTTATAAATTATAATAATAAAAGTAATTATTAATAAAAATTAGCTATATTGGCAAGGTTTATTATTAATTTTATACGATTAAATTAAACGAAAAATAAAGATTATTATTTTATTTTATTTTATATAAAAAAATAAAGGTTTAATATAATTGGAAAAAAAAACAAAAATAACGGAAAAAGGTAAAATAGTTAAATTAAAACCTTTTAATTATATTAAATTTTTAATAATATTAACAGATTTATTTATAAAACTTTAATTTATTTAAATATTTTATGTTAATATATATTATACGTTAATAATTATAAGTAATTAATATTTAAAATTATTAATTAATTAAATATTAAATAATTTTTAATTTTAATTAATCCCGATTATTTTAACGTTTTTTATTAAGTAATTAAAAAATAATAAATAATTATAATTATATTTATTTATAATATTATATTAAAGAAAGATTTAAAAAGTTGTATTAAAACGATTAATTTTGTTAAAATTTAATTTAGTTTATATTTTAATGTTAAATAATTCCCATTTAAACCGATTTATATAAAAGTAATAAATAGTTTTTAAAACTTGATAAAAAGTTTTTTAATTAAAGTTATTTTGTTATATAACGGTAAATAAACGAATTATTTAATTAAAATATTTATATATAATATAATTAATTATATTATTAATATTAACGAGATTTTAAAAAAATAATAATTAGTTATTAACAAAAAAAAACTATTAAAAATTATTTAATATAATTATATTTAAGCTATTTATAATTTGTTAATCGGGTGATATAAATTAAAAATAAGTTTTAAAATAAAGGTTTAAATTAATTTAAGGAAATAGTTATTTATTATGTGTGTGTGTGGCTTTTATAAGCGATAAAAGACTTATATTAAGGTTAATTACTTTATTAATTAGTTAAAAATTATTTATAACGTTGGTTATAAACCTTATTTATGCGATATATTCCCGAATTTTTCAAGATTATTGTTTCGAAAGATTTTATATAATTAATAAAACTATCTTTTTTATTTTATTATTATTTTTTAATTTAGATAATGATTATTTATAGTTTTATATATATTTATAAAAAAGATGTGTATATTACCTTTTAATTAAAGTAACAGTTATAAAAAAATTATATTTAAATAAATATTTTTATTTTTTTGTTAATATTTTTTATAAATGTTGTAATTTGGGATTTATATTAACAATTTAGTTTAATTTATGCGTTTATAAATTATAAATTAACTATTATTAATTTATTTTTTTTAATAAATTATTTATGTTTATAAAAAATAAATTAATTATTATTAATTTATTTTTTTTTTAAAATAAAAGCTTATGGGAAGTAAATTAATTGTTATTAATTAAAACTGTTTTTTTTAAAACAAAATAAATACGCGAATAATGGAGACTAAATGTTAAAAACAACTTTATTTTAGATTTTACCCCTAACGTTTTAAAAGTTATGTTATTAACAAGTTAAAGTAATAATTATTATCTTTATCTTTATTTTTGTTTAATTAATGGCATAATTTATATTATTTTGTAAGTTTAAAGCGTATTTTTATAAATTTATACTTTTTTTAACTTAGTATATATTAAAGGTTTAAATCTTGTATATTATAAACGGCATATTTAAGCCTTTTGCAATGCCTTGTTAACCAATCGTACCTTTTTTCTGGCTTTTTAAGGTACGGATAAAAATAGTTTAATATATTACCCTTTGGTGTTATAACAAATACCCTTAAATTTATAAACGGTAATGTTGTTTTTTAATATAATAATATTATTAACTACTTTCCGTAATCGTTTAACAAAAACTATACGAACTTTAAAGTTTTATTTTTAATTATTTAATTAAATTATATTTAAGTTTAATTAAAAGTTATTTTACCGGCAATAGTTTTTAAAAACTTTTATACAAATAGTTATCCTTAAACCTTGGCTAAGTTTTAAGCTTTGGTTTTAATATACGTATGTTTTTATTATTTATATATTAAACGGATATTAATTAAAACCGATCAAGTAAAATAAAAGCTTAAATTAATTTAAAAAAACAGTTATTTATTATATATATGTATGGCTTTTATAAGCGATAAAAGACTTATATTAAAGTTAATTACCCTGTTAATTAACTAGAAGTTATCCATAATGTTAGTTATAAACCTTGTTTATGTAATATATTCCTGAATTTTTCGAAATCATTATTTTAAAAGATTTTATATAGTTAATAAAGTTATTTTTTTTATTTTATTATTATTTTTTAATTTAAATAATAATTATTTATAGTTTTATATATATTTATAAAAAAGATATATATGTTATTTTTTAGTTAAAGTAATAGTTATAAAAAAATTATATTTAAATAAGTATTTTTGTTTTTTTATTAATATTTTTTATAAATGTTATAATTTAAGATTTATATAAATAATTTAGTTTAATTCGTACGTTTATAAATTATAAATTAACTATTATTAATTTGTTTTTTTTAATAAATTATGGTGTTTATAAAAAATAGGTTAACTATTATTAATTTACTTTTTTTTTAAAGCGAAATGTATGTTTTTTAAAAATAAATTAATTATTATTAATTTATTTTTTTATATAAAATTAAATATATTTATAAGAAATAAGTTAATTATTGTTAATTTGTCTTTTTTTATAAGGTTAAAAATAAATATGTAAAGTGTAAGTAATAAACGTTAAAAATAGTTTTATTTTATATTTTTACTTTTAACGTTTTTAAAGTTATGTTATTATTAAGTTAAAGTAACGGTTATTTTTTTTATTTAGTTGTTAACGCAGTTTATGTTATTTTATAAGTTTAAAATGTGTTTTTATAAATTTATACTTTTTTTAATTAAATATATGTTAAAATTATAAATTGTTTATACCGTAAATAACATATTTAAACCTTTTGTAATGTTTTGTTAACCAATTATGTTTGTTTTTTAGTTTTTTAAAATATGGATAAATATATTTTAACGCATTTTTTGCTTCGGTAATAAATATTTTTAGATTTATTAATGGCGTTGTTTTTTAGTATAATAAAATTATT